GTGGCTGAATACAATGCATTAATAATCGGACTTAATTTCGCCAAAGAGCTGGGGGTCGAATACCTTGAAGCTTTTGGGGATTCTCAACTGGTAGTTAATCAAATACGAGGAGAGTATGAAGTCAGAAATCGAGACCTGATTCTATACCACCAGGTGGCCATCGAGATGGCAAGCTCATTTGAAGAATTTTTCATCGAGTACGTTCCACGTCTCCAAAACGCGTATGCAGACGCATTGGCGGCATTGTCGGTATCCTTGGCTCAACCTCCCGAAACAGAACAATTGATTACAGTGAGGACTCTCGACTACGTCCTACATGATATACTGCCTGAAGATGTAAAAGAAAGGGAATCGATTCGGCGAAGAGCACCGAGATTCTACTACAACGCCACAGCGCAAACGTTGTATCGACGATCATACAATGGTCTTTTACTCCGTTGTCTATCAGGCAAAGAAGCAGAACAAGCACTCAAAGAGGCGCATCGACTACGTCCTACATGATATACTGCCTGAAGATGTAAAAGAAAGGGAATCGATTCGGCGAAGAGCACCGAGATTCTACTACAACGCCACAGCGCAAACGTTGTATCGACGATCATACAATGGTCTTTTACTCCGTTGTCTATCAGGCAAAGAAGCAGAACAAGCACTCAAAGAGGCGCATGAGGGGACGTACGGTGCACATCAACCCGGTCCGAAACTCTGTGACCAACTTAGGAGAATTGGATATTATTGGCCGACTATGGTAAAGGATGCGGTTGACTACGCCCGACGATGTCAAGCGTGTCAATTACATGCAAATTATATGCACATACCTCCTGAACATCTACATCCTTCGGCGACATCGTGGCCGTTCGAGACATGGGGAATGGATATCGTGGGTCCTATTTTTCCGCCTTCAGTTAAAGGGGACCGTTTTATTCTAGCAATCACTGATTACTTCTCAAAATGGGCAGAAGCAGTTCCACTTCGAGAGGTGAAGACGAGTGATGTGATCAAATTTATCAAACACCATATCATATATCGATACGGTGTTCCGAGGCGAATAGTGCACGATAATGGACCTCAGTAAATTCGGGATTAAGGACGTTTCATCGACTGCTTATAATCCTACAGCTAACGGATTGGCCGAAGCTTTTAACAAGACTATCATCAAAATTCTGGCAAAATTGGTGAAAACCAATAAACAAGATTGGGATGACAAACTCGGCGAAGCCCTGTGGGCTTATCGTACCACCGTCCGTACGCCAACCGGAACCACCCCGTGTGCCTTAACATATAGGTGTGAAGTCGTCCTTCCATTAGAAATACAGATTCATTCCCTCCGTATCGCTCTCACAACAGGAATGACGACGGAAGAACATCATCAAAAACGTCTCGAGGAATTAGAGATGTTAGATGAGAAACGCTTGGAAGCTCAACAACAGATCGAGTTTTATCAAGCTAGAATTTCCCGGGCTTTTGACAAAAAGGTCCGACAATGAAGTTTTAAAGAAGGAGATTTGGTCCTCGCCGTCCGAAGACCTATGATTCTCACTTCTAAGAAGAAAGGTAAATTTGAACCTAAATGGGAAGGACCGTTCGTGATAGAGACAGTCTATTCAAATGGTGCTTATCGTCTGATTACTCAGGATGGCAACACATTAATGATGCCAATAAATGGGAAGTTCCTGAAAAAGTATTATCCATAATACGTTCAGGATAACCTATGTAAAACGGGAAGTTCCTAGAGAATCCTGTATATGATATTTCAGGATAACCCGATATCAGTTGATTATTCTAAATGAAGACTAATCATGTGAATAATCTATTCTTAATTGTTATAAAAATGATTAAGATCTCCTTATTATTCTTGTTGAGATGAGATTTAATGACAGTTAATCTTTCCTCACAAAATCCGATAACATGATCATGGAAAAGGAGATTCGATGATTTGTAATCTCACACCATGAAACCCTCACTGATTGGATCAACCAATAGTCATCTGTCCGTATCAGTCAACAAATTATTTAGTGTCAAATTCTTATGTTTGAAATCAAAATTTCCCACCGAGTAGTTTGTGCAAATCAACGAACTTATTGTTATTTGCACCCTACTCCAATTCTTCACCCGGTCAAACCATTAAATAGTTAGGACCAGAACCAAAATCTCCTCTCGATTCCTTCAATGAACGAGAGGTCCACAAACTAAACGATCAAACATTCTTACAGTTAGAATCGTCTCAAAACTCCCACTTGGTCAAACCTTACTACAGTTAGGACCACAACCAAAATCTCCTTTCGATTCATTTTGCGAACGAAAGGTCCACTTTTGAATTGAGTAATCAAACCTTATGACAGTTAGGATTATTCAAACTAATCCAGATTCTCTAAGTGGAGATCCCACTTTGAGTTTCCCTTTGTACCAGGAGATAGAATATAAAATTCTTCCTCTCCAATTCTGGGTTTATCTCTACCAACAAACAAGAGACCAGGAGATAGAATATAAAATTCTTCCTCTCCGATTCTGGGTTTATCTCTACCAACAGACCAGGAGATAGAATATAAAATTCTTCCTCTCCGATTTTGGGTTTATCTCTACCAACAAACAAGAGACCAGGAGATAGAATATAAAATTCTTCCTCTGCGATTTTGGGTTTATCTCTACCAACAAACAAGAGACCAGGAGATAGAATATAAAATTCTTTCTCTCCGATCTTGGGTTCGTTGTCCTATATAGGAAACGCAACCTACTCACACTTTAAAATCCATGTCGTTTACACATGGAGGATGTTATCTCTATCCCTTATCAGAGATAAGCCTATATCTAACACATGTAGCCTACATATTCAACATTGTAGTTCAAAGTCTAAAAGAGTTTAATTCTTTTAGCACAACGTTATATGTGAAACGGACCTAGATAATTCACATACTAGCCCGACTCAAACGGTAATCGGTAAAGGCATATCAAATCCGTTGATGGCTGAGGATTTGCCAAAAATCCTATAAGTATTATGGTTATTTATTCTAAAACAAGAATGAGTAATCATAATAAAACCTCAATGAGCAAAAGGATTCAATATATTGACCAAAAGTGTTCAAACAAAACTATAAAAAAAATATATGTTCTCCAATTACAAAAGTTTGTAGTGACTAATCTGATTTTCAAGTTTTGAAAGCTCTAATGCATAAGCATGTTCAAGCTTAGCCACCAATTTAATTTTGAAGGCTTCTTCGTCAACACTGTGAAGCGCGGCGACCTCTTGTTCCTTTTCAACAAGTATTTTATCTTGAAGGTTCAGCTGCTGTAACGGGTTTTCTTCAACCTGAATTTCCTGCGTCAACTCGGACTCCAAGACCTCATGAGCATCCTTGGCCATTGCAATTTCCTCTTCTAAGCGAGCTATTTCTGCTCGACTCGATTCTAAATCCCGGCGTAGGTTAACCTTGGCTTGTGTTCTTTTGCCAACATTCACCCTAAGTTGATCACTTCGGGCTCTAAGCTTTTGAAGTTCGAGGTTAGCTGATTTTTAGGAATCACGCCACGCTTGCAACTCGGATTCCATGCGGGAAGCGATATAGGAGGGTATGCCTTTGGTACAAAGAACTTGTAGAAGTTCAACATGTCGCTTCAAATCAACCAAATAAGTGTTGATTGAATCGGCTAACTCATTATACCCTTCCTCTCTGAATCCTGATATAAAACGCTCAAGAGATTTTTTATAATTCTCAAAATATGATCCTTTGAAGAGAATACGATCCACCATAGAGTTCAAAAAGGGGATGAAGCCTTGGAGATTAGAACAGATGACAGCCTTATCCGGATCGTCGTCGACCAACAAAGCTTGGATCTGATTTGATAGTGATGAGGGAACTGCAATGAGGGCAAATAGGTCAGTACAGAACATATGTATGCATACAAGACAACAAACGGAAGCATACCAAGTTCGACGGAAGAACCCTCAGTATGACTTGGTTCACCCAAGGGTGGTAGTCCGGCCTCCTGAGCAGCCAAAGTCGGTTTAGGAATAGCAGCTTTTGACGCAGTAACTACGTCAGAAGATTTTTCAATCTCAACCTCAGGGAACTTTGGGTCTAAATTGAGAGGCTCCTTGGGAGAATATTCTGCAAACAAAAGAATCATAATAAGTATAATGGAATGATAATCCGAGATTTGAAACAAGTTATGGGTAAAACTTACCAGCTCTGGACACCACATCGGCTGATGTACCAACTTCTTCAGTTGGTCTCGCTTTTGTTGCAACTGGGCTAATTTGAGGAGTGACGGTGACTTCTATCATCATGGGGTCTATAGGAGTAGAAGGTTGAGGTTCAAGAACTGATGATTGCAAATCAACCTCAGTTCCTGCTCATGGCACGAGTTCACTACCCTCCGGTCGATCAGATGTTCCAGTGATTATGGTAGTATCAGCTCCAGCAGCTGGTCCTATAATTCAAACACTTATATGATTAATCAAGTTTAAACATATATGTATGTATGTATGGAGTTCACAGAACCAAAGTCTTACTCTCAGAAGGACCTGCTTCTGTTGAACTGACTCCAACGTTGGATTCTGTGGCCACACCAGGAGTTTTCCCCGATAATAAATCGGAGATATACTGATGGTCTCCTTTAGAGAGATCGAAATCGAGGTAATGCTCATTGAATTCTTCGACCTCTGTTGCATGCGTGGCCTCTCCTCCAACAGATTCTTTCATTATGGCATCTACAGAACGTGTTGAATCGTAAATGACACGTAAATTTAAACGAATTTGCTCAAGACAAAGATTAATTTTACCTTCGTTGGTCGGGACTGATTCGAGAGCTCCACCACTTGTACCTGCTTCTTTTAGTTTAACTAAAAGGAGACCAAGCGCGCAAGTCATTAAAGGAGGCACACGGTCTGACTCATTCATTTCTCGGATTTCTCTTCCAAGGGAAGAAAGATCAGAACCTGTGTCCGCAGCCGAGGGATCGATGTCAGAAGTTGGTGGAATATCAGCTGATCCTTCTTTCAGAGCATCCTGCATTTGCTGGAGAAACAGCATCAGCTGGCAATTCTCCTTCTTCTTGATTCCCTACAGAAGTTGAGCATGAAATAAATTTGAACGTTAAGAAGTGTGAAAGCAATAAAGACAAATAGTTACCTTGTTCATCAGAAGAAGCACTACGATCAGACGTCTCTTCTAGAGCAGGAAGATGAACGCGTGGCTTAGAGACAGCTTTCTTCTGTCTCTTCAGTGGACGTGCTTCGGAACCTTCATGGCGATATTTGGTGCGTAGTTCAACTCTGGGGGAAGCTTGGGTCTGAGTGGAAGATCGAGATCTTTGCCTATGAGCAAGAGGCACTGTATCCTCTTCATCCTCTTCGTCCCCACTGAGAACGTCTACCGTCATCCGATTAGGATAGGTCATGACGACTCTCTCTCTCCGTTTTCTCGGAGCAGCTTGTGGTTGGGCCGGAGCGACGGAAGGTCTTACAAGTCCCCTTTCAAAGAAAGAATCAGGGAGACCAGCTCTTTCATCAGAACTCGAGCTAGTCTCACCCGCCTCTTCAGAAGTCTCCGTTTCCTCACTATCAAATTCCTCTTCACTACCAGCTGGAAGAACCGGTTCCTTTCCTTTTCTCGAGGATTCAACAGCCTCTTTTCCTCGAGTCGACACCATAGCCTCATGAGTCGCCTCTGTCGCTTGCTGCGGAGCTGCCTCTTCCTCTGAGTCTGATACTCTCCCACGTCGAGTGACGATATTAGCGGCAATCAACCACTTAAAAAAGAGAAAGGTCATCCGTAGAGGCGGCGCCTCTAAAGGGAGATCAAATTCAACAATTGTGCAGCCGGCAATACTCCAAAACCAAGCTCTCGCCCCATCAATAAGTCCACCTCAAAAGCTAAGGTGACGATTCGGGTTGCTGATATAAATTTGGTCATAGCCGAATTAACGCGCAAATCGACATGGAAGATAGGGCTCAATGTGGCAAACGTCCCTTACCCTGAACAACAGATATCCAGGTCGGATATTCATCAGCCATCTGAAACATCCGACATCTAGAATAGTACGGTTCTGCCTCGGGTCTTCAGCATCCAATAAAGTTGTGTTGTAAGTGCCGGAGAACCGAGGGAAGCAAGGGAAGAATTCCCAACACTTATGAATTTTGAACTGCCTCGTTATGTCCGGCCATCGATGGTTGATCCATTTGCAACCCTCAAGGGTCTGTAAAAGAGGAAGACTAGGATCCACCATCTCAGGAGCTTCCATTAAATCTGGCCGGTGCAGAACCAACCTTGTCATCAAATAAGTGTAGGGTAGTTCTAGTTTCGGAACAGATATACTGGCAGAGGGTTTCTTTTTCTCTTGTGTGAATGCGGAAACTAACTGCCGTAACCCACTGTGAATAGCCGCCACCATAGCAGGAAGCAAAGATAATCTGCGACCTGTGGCTAACTGGACGGCTGGGTACAACACTTCCATTAGCATAGCGTCGGATGACTGGTGAGGAACTACACATCTCTTCAACCATATAGCCAGAAAGCCAGCCAACAGAGTAGTGGGGCGAATCGGAACACCAGCTTGAAACAAATAAGAGCGGAATTTAGTTCCGTGCGAAAACCCATCTTCTGAATGAGAAATGTAAGATTGTGCGTTTGTTTTCTCCAACAGTCGATTGATGTCACCCGGGCTCAAAGGAGATAACCCACGTACCTCTTTCGATCGATCCTCCAGGTTCTTGAACAGATAATCGGCGAATTGCTTTAAGCTGACCTGGGGAGATTTCTTCCTAGCTTTGGTATCCATCTTAGCCATAGCTATATGATAATGACAAGTTAGCTCCCATAAAGTCTCGTGGGTTACAGATGACCGATCCTTCATCTTATTAAGCTGACTGGTGGTTGGAAAGAACTCTTGATATGGAACATCGCCTATGGGCAAGCCAGACACCTTCATCATTTCGTGCAATGGTAACCCGAGCTCCCCGTTCTTGGTGAAGAACGTATTAGTGTCAGGATTATAGATCTCGAACAGACGGAGGAAATGACCTACGCTAATTTGCAGACCATGCATGCTGGCACGGATCGGGACTTTCAACCCTAGTTCTGCTAACTCTCGCCCCCAACGGTTCAACACATATCGAGTCATTCTGGTCCACCACCATTTATCCCCATAATAATGGACCCATCCATAACATCTGAAACTCTCGTGGGGTAATTTCTTCTTCATTGCAGCCAAACGATTCTTCACAGTGTTGGCCTGCGCTGTCTTTTCATTCTGAGGTATATTGTCTTGGCCTAAGACACCCGGATGAAGCCCTCGTATAGAAGCTCTTTCACTGGAACCTGGAGTAGCCTCTTTCCCGATGAAACCACAATGAATACGTTCGTGGTTTTCTGTTAACCTCCAGAACATTTCACGTCCAACCGATAAGTTCCTGAACTTTAACAGTGAGTGCTCTCGAGGGATAAAAGGCAAGTACAGAAATGACGAACCATCCTCGTGTAACCACTGCGCAGGCTTGCAGAAAGCAATCGCCGGATCCTTTATGGAGTCACCAAACAAGAAGTCTGGTTTCCTTATACATTGGTTTGAGTCCTGTTCTGAAATTAAGGGTGCGTCCGTGATTAACCGTTGCAGAATACGGCAACTACCATAAGATATAGTCGCCATCTCACAGCAGGTGTGACGATTTCTTTTTATCTACCACATGTATAAAAAGATATGCGTTACTATGCACGGGCATTATAACGGCATATCGAAACCTTTCAATACATGTGGGATGATATGAAATCGCCCCTGTGTATTATGAAGTGTGTTTTGTCCAAGCAAAACAAACACTTTTAAGCGTCGATCCCCTCGAAGGAGGATACCGACTCTTCTCGAAGGTATCTCAAAGGATACAAACGAGGATATGCATGCAAATACAGGTGCATATATATGAAATTGACAAAATACAATATTTAAATTTGCGAAAGGGTGAAAGAGATATACCCCCGTGTGAAGCCGCAGCAGGACCCGCCTCTTCAGGGCTCTGAACAGTCGGACGACATCGAGTTCCCCGAGCTCTACGCGGTGACATGATGAAAACATGAGCTACATTGAAACCCAAGGGGAAAGTTAGGGTTTTGAATGAGAAATTGAACAAAATATCACAAAATCTGGTGGAAACAGTGCATGCAAACGTGAAGGAGAAGAAAATCAAGATTTGAAAGAGAAGAGGGTCAACGAACCTTTGAAATCCGAGTTGATTATCCCCAAACAAAGGTACCACCCAAGTCAGCAGCAAAGAGGAGAAGAAGCAGAAGAAAGCTGGTGGAAAATCGTTAAGAAATCGCCAAGAATCGCTCTGAAATCGACGTGAAAAACCCTAAAAAAGCCCAAGTCCGACTTATATACTCGCTGTCTCGCTGAGCGAGACAGCAAACTCTGTCTCGCTGAGCGAGACAGCAAACTCTGTCTCGCTAAGTGAGACAGCATAATCCGTCTCGCTGAGCGAGACAGCAAACACTGTCTCACAGTGTGAGACAGCAAACATTGTATCGCACAAATACAATACAGAGTGATACTCCAATGGGTACACGAGTCTAAACTGTATTCCTACCCTCAACGGGAAGTTTCTGGAGAATATTAATCTGAATATTCTTAAGGATAACCTGACAAACTTTCGAGAGACAAACAAGCATCAATCTGGAAATACCAACTTCAATTCAAGATCTTAACAACGGTCGAGCGATAAACGCAGTGCCGGAGAAGTATTAGCTATTCTACAAAGAACTGAATAGACTAATGGATGAAGAGATCAAGAGCCGAAGCCATTTTACAGATTCTTCTACACGATCTACTCAACCAAGCATTGAAGGGATCGTAAGTAAAATCTATCTTATCCAAAGTATCCCAGGCTCTTCTGTAAAAGAATACGTCTGGAATACTTTGAAGGGGGCATCTGTAGGCGTTAAAAAATGCTAATAGATATCCAAACATAGAGAAAATTACTCAAAACTGACAGATATGAACTGTCTCGCCAGCGAGACAGACTTTGCTGTCTC